TTATACTAACTGCCATATTGACACTTCAATGAGCCAAATCGTAAAGATTGTATAGACTAATCATATAAGTCAATTATAAAGTCTATTTAACACCTTCCATTCTGTCATATGCTGTAAATGCGTTAAAATATTTGCAAAAGATTCCCCTTTAGAGCTTCATGCAGATATCCAAGCTTGAGCCAACAAGATATCCCACTCATTTTCACTATGAAAAAAAGAAAGATTCTGGTAAACGTACTGTTTGAACGATATTTTTTACAATGAACGTTTCAAAATCAAATTAGCCATTTTTGTGGTATGTATGGAATTATATCGTTCACAACTTAGTATGAAATAAATGAAGATGACCCAAAAGAAAAGAAGAAGAAGAGAAAACTTCAAATTCTAACAATATAAATTAAGACTGTGATAGCATGACTAACTTGTATATAACGGATTTCGGTCCCTCCGGTTGCTTGCTAACATACATGTCACCGTTTTCAGCAATGGTCAAAGATATCACTAAAGAAAGTCATAAATGAAGTGTGATAAACGGAGAAAGCTAACAATAACAGCTACCAGAATATACCCACGCAATCCATCTATAAAACTTTCATGCTTCATTTCACCAGCCATCGTGAAAAATCTCAACTCCGTTGTTCGTTCTTTATCTTCAGCACAAGTGTAGACTATCTGAACAATAAGTAAAACGGTCAAGAACGACATAAAATAACTCAACATAGAAATTCCGCTCAAATTTCCGATATTTCAAAAGTTTTAGTTCAAAATAGGAAAATATAGGAGCGAAAAATCGAGAACAAGATGACCTTTGAATTTCCATTAAAAATACAGGCATATGATATTTCAGTACGTTGCTTCTGAGGGACTTACCATATCCTTGTGGAACAGCACCTGTGGAAAAGGCGCCATCTTCTTCGGGAACAAATTCTTTCGTTCCCATATGGTAGTTCTACGCGTTCCGTCGAATTTGAATAAGCCCCCTTTCGTTGCTACCTAAGGTTTAAACTGCAGAAGAGCGCGTATTTTTCAGAGGAGAAGAAAGTGGTCTTAATTGCTGACAAGTAAAGTAGTACCCAAACGTTTCCTTCTGAATCGAAACAAACGTTGTAAGGAACGGTAGCTCCACGAGGTGTTAGATGAAGCCACATTTCATCAAAGCGCTGAAGGTCAGATGTATCGGATTTTGTTTCGACCATTTCTGAAAGCTTTCAAAATTAACTGGAAAGATGGCAAACTGCATGAAACCA